TCAAGAAGTAATTGAGATAAAAGAGGGAGCAGATGTTGACAGACGAGCAATGGACAAGGAGGTAATAATGTCGCCTCGGCAAAAAGGAAAGACTGAGAGTGAACACATATGTGGTCCTGGTATGGCAGGACGACGACAAAAATTGGGTGGCTGTGATCCTGAAGGACTGGTGGCGTAGGATGATACACCAATGTCACCAGGTAGCGCATACAGGTATCGCAAGAGCGACGGGTTTACTACGGCAAAGTGCATACTGGCCAGGCGTGAGAGATGATGTGGCCCAATACGTGTTAACGTGCCAGCAGTGCCAATTAATGAAAAGCGATCGATACACGAACCGACATTGCAGTCAGTCCCAGTAACCTCAGTCGGTGATCTGTGGTCGGTAGATGTGATGGGGCTGTTTCCTCAGACGGCTAGCGGCAACCGATACCTGTTGGTAATGACGAGACATGTTACACGATGGGTAGACACTGTACCGATTGCAGATCAGCGGGCCAAAAAAGTGACCGAGGTAATAATCCGGCATATTGTAGCGAGTCACGGAATACCGAAGATGATACTGACCGACCAGGGTCCCTGTTTTGAAAGTGACGAGTTTAAGGCCCGTCCAAAGCAGTTTGGCATCAAAAGGATAAGAACTACACCGCACCACACTCAAACGAACGGGCCCAAAGAATGAAACAACTGGACGTTAAATGAATGGTTGGCATCTAAAGGAGGGAATTGGGAGAAAGAGTTACCACTAATTTTGCTTGCGCATTGTGCCTCCATACAAGGTTCAACCAGGAAATCACCTTCCCTACTTATGTATGGTAGACAGTCACGACTTCCAATGCATAATAAGACCTGGCCACAACAACAGAAGTGGACATCAACAAGATTAAGAAATGGTAACATAGAAGGGGGACCAGGGTCAGGAAAGTTGATCCCGAAAAGGGAAGAACCGTACATTATCACGGAGAGACGTGGCTCGACGTACACGACCTGGAGAGAAGACAAGCAGAAACGTGTAAATGCCAGTCGACTGCAGATATGGTTTCAAGAGTCTCATGAGTACGAGTCACGAACAGCACCAAAGAAGACAGTGGTACGGCGATCGGAAAGATTGTGAGAACAGCTTAATAAAAGGGGGGACGAGTGTGGTGTGGGCTCCTTCTATCGACTTGCAGAAGTGAACGTAAGCTCTGACTTGGTGTATCAGAAACAGCATAGTCTAAACACAGACACTTTTCCTGACCTGGATATGATTCATTCTAATATACTGAGAGGAGCAGCTTCAATCATGGCAAAAACCGCGTTACGGTTTATTCTCTCATTAGCTAAGAAAAGGCATGCTCTCAGAAAACTGGAAACCGGGACATATCACAATACTTTTCAAAGGCAGAAGCAGTGAACATTTGGGCAGTCAGTTGTAAGCACTCCTCTCGACATATCGAGAAGTTATGGATTCTTAGATATACTCTGGTCTATGTGACTATTTATTATCCATAAACTTCTTTCACTCGAATAGCGTGGTTCCAGGAAAGGTGGTTGTTGTCTAATTAAATTACAAACCATAGTGGACAGATATTCAACAATTATTGATCACAAAATGGAAGGCTGGTGTCATATACCTTGAGATCTGAGAAGCTTTCGTTAGGGTCAATCATATATTCATCATCAATAGGCTCAAACTGTTAGGCAAGTCACCATTAATAGAATCTCTTCCATCATATCTCAGTAATAGACATTTTAAAGTCATATTAAACTTCACTTTGTCAGACTAAAGAATGTGCTAGTAGTGTCCTACAAGGTTCAAAGCTAAGATCTCTTCTTAATTTATATAAATGATTTTCCTCAGCAAATATCGTTTGCTTTGTTACTTTTCGCGGATGATGTGAAACTCTTTCGAGAGAGATACGAAATTAGTTCGAGGACTGAAATGCAAACTGTATGAAGAATACTTCAAGCCATTGAATCTGTACCCATTACAATATAAGCGCCTCGTTGACGACATTTTAATAGTCTACAGCATCCTGAACACTGTAGAACATCCACATAAATACCCACACATGATCAGTCCCAACACAAATCTTAAAAGTAACACCCAGAAACTAGATACACAACAAAGCAGAACGGACTGAAATCACATCTTCTACTCCTTAAGAGTAGTCATATTCTAGTATTCGCTACCTGCTGGGCTTGTTTGAGCAACCTCCCTGGAGTCCTCCGAACAGAATACTTGACATATTCTCAAGGAATCGGAACAGCATTTCACTGAAATTTACCAATATTCCCATTTTCATAGTTAAATATACCTACGCTCATACCTGGAGGCATAGACGGTCTACTGCTACTAGATATGGAGGCCTGTTAGGCGAGAGCTTCCTCTATTCTACAAAGAACCATTCGAACCACTTGAAATCTCGTTTCTATTCACTTGGTTCAATGCAACCCATATAAACTGGATAGAGCTCACAGCTCCAGGTGGGGGTTTCGATAGCGTCCTTCTGTCATCAATTATTCAATGTGCACTTGTACAATGTATCGTTAAGCCAACACATATAGACTTGGAACATAATCCGTCATTGATAGACCTTGTCCTCACACACCACTGTGAAGATATCGTTGACATTCAACATCTTCCCCCACTGGTGAATAGTGACCATGTCGTACTTTCCTTTAAGTTCCGGATACATGGTATAGAATTTGCATCAGCTCCACCCCGTCCTAATATCTGGAGAGCTAATATTCCGGCAATCAGGGACTATGCTATCTCAATTGACTGGTCGGTCGATGCTGATGGATCGATTGATGATGCATGGAATAGGTTTAAGTCTACGTTCGAATCCGTAACTCAGCCGTTTATCCCATGGTCAGCACGTAAGCTATCATATTGCCCTCCATGGATTAATAAGGAAACCCGGAAGCTGTTGAAGCGTAGGAAACACTTCTGGGACTTATTCTTGTCAACAGGTCAGGCATCATTTAAGTGCGAATATAAAAAAATCCGGAATATATGTAAAAAGACCATAGCTAAATCCCGCACGGCTTACGAACGACAGTTGGCATACGATAGCCGTACCTGTCCGAAGCGCCTGTTTTCGTACGTTAAAAGGCGGACGAAACGTAGTGATGGCATCCCCTCATTACTGTTAAGCGAAAATTCAGCTTTATTGGCTGAATCTGATCTGGCGAAAGCGGAGTTATTTGCTAACTATTTCAGTGAAGTCTACTCTACGTGTAGTGTTACAACTACTTGTCCAGTTGACAATGAGATACCAGCCATAGGACCCTTACACGTGACAGAGGATATAGTTCTTCCTTTGATAACTAACCTAAAACCTTGTAAGATACCGGGCCCCGATGGGTTACACCCACGTTTGCTGTCGTCGCTTGCGAACATTATCTCAAGACCGCTCAAGATGCTCTTCAACATTTCCTTTTCACAGGCTCAACTACCTAGAGACTGGAAAGACGCCATAGTTAGTCCTATATTTAAGGATGGTCAGAGACGGATAGTATCTAACTACCGGCCTGTTAGCCTGACCAGTATAGTAGTTAAGTTACTTGAAAAATTAATTCGGGCTAAGCTACTGAGCCACATAGATTCGTACAATCTGTTAACTCCCGAGCAACATGGGTTTCGTAACAAGCATTCATGCTTGACTAACTTACTCATTGCGAGAGAGGATTGGACAGCTGCACTAGACAACGGCCAGTCTGTCGACGTGATATTTATAGATTTTAGCAAAGCGTTTGATAAGGTTTCACACTTAGGTCTTATGCAAAAGCTCTCGAGCTTTGGTATAACAGGTGCTATACAGGAATGGATAGGAAGCTTCTTATGTGACCGCAGACAGAGAGTGAGAGTCAATGGAACTCTATCCGAATGGAAACCGGTCAAAAGCGGTATACCCCAAGGCACCATCTTGGGCCCTTTACTTTTCCTTCTGTATATTAATGAACTACCTTTATTACTTAAGTCGTCGACGTTATTGTTTGCGGATGATGTTAAAATCTGGAGAACAATAAGAAATGAGATTGATCGTTGTTATCTACAAGCAGATTTAGACGAATTAGTTAGGTGGGCTCATGATTGGGGCCTGGAAGTTAATTCCAGGAAGAGCGTGTTCATGCACATCGGGCACGATATTAGTTACCACTATACCATTAATGGTACATCTCTGCCACGCGTTCATACGCATAAAGACTTAGGAGTAATTATAAGTCACGACTTAAAAACTACTACGCACTGCAGTGCGGTTGCTTCCAAAGGCTATCGCGCGCTATGGTCGCTTCGCAGAGCATTTAAATGCTTTGACGAGGATATGTTTCGAATTTTATATCCCACCTATGTAAGGCCACACTTAGAATACTGTATCCAAGCAGCTAGCCCTTGTCTGATAAAGGATACTAAATCGCTTGAGCGTGTCCAGCGTGTAGGGACAAAATTAGTAAAGGGTCTTTCCAAACTCCCTTACGATGAGCGTTTAAAACGTCTAAATCTTTTCCCCTTATCTTATCGTAGGACGCGAGGTGACCTTATACTGGCATTTCGTATCTTTAATTATGATCTGGGTGTTAATATGTCTTACCTTTTTGCTCCCTCCAGCACTAATAATCTCCGGGGTCATAGCAAGAAGGTTCTGAAACCGCGATCTAATAAACTAAAGGTGGGGTCCCGTTTTTCTCATCGAGTGGTCAATGACTGGAACGCTTTACCAGAACAAGTGGTATCAGCACCATCAGTGAACATTTTCAAAAAGAAGCTGGACCTTCACTGGAAGGAAATCTGTCAGGATTAACACAGGTTCATCAACCTACTATCCTTATTACTGAAGACTGAAGACTGAAGACTGAAGACTGAAAACCATTACTAAGAAATCTTAACAAACTTGATGACAAATTTTCCCACTCAGAAGTATATTTGACATAGCAACTTGTTCGTTATTTCTTCTTCATACAGCTTCACCCGAGGCAGTACCACAACACACTTCCTGGTCTTAATGACCTACAAAATGAAGCGCCGAGTGTGATGTTTGTGCCTCAGATGGACCAGACAGAAACGTCCGATATACACTTAAAGTTACTATTAATAGGTGATATGAGTAAGTAATATCACTGGCTCTGTAGATACATCGCTTCTACTTTTTTGTCATTCAAGCTGCACGAATTTTTCATCTCAATTTAGTTCCAGCTTGATTTTTCTTCATTACCGTAGAATTTTCTGTTGATTTCATGTTGTTATGCTAGTTCTCTTAACCAGACTTGCTCTCGATTTGACTTCATTTCAACTGTTACCTAAAATAACGAACTCATTCTAGCTGCTACACCGACGCTACTCAAGTGTCACTTTTAAAGCAATTGCTTCCAAGTTTCAGCTGCGTACAGAAGAACTGTGTTGACGTTCTGACTTTGATGTTGGTTGAAAGTGATCTTGAGTTCTTAGCATTTTTTAAAATCGCTGTGATGCTGTCCATGCTTTGCCAATTTTTCCCTTACGTCTGCAAAGAATCCTCCACGTTCATCGATGGTGCTGCAGACCAGGTATGTGAAGGTTTCCACTTTTTCAGAGTTTCTCCACCAAGTGTGATTTGACTGGTGTTCCCTGTGTTGTTCGTTTTTTCCCTTCGTGTATTTTCAAGCCTACTGCTGCCAAGATTGCTGCTACACTAACTCTCTTCGCCTGCATTTGTTGGCGTGTATGTGATAGGAGAGTTAGGTTATCTGCAAAGTCCAAATCACCTAGCCGTATCCATGCTCTCTATTATACTCTGTACTTCCTCTGAGATGTGGAATTTTTCATATTCCAGTGTTCACAAACCAAAGAAACAGAAATGGCGATGGTAAGCAACCTTGTCTAACACATATCTTCACTTGGAGTATATCTGTCAGCTATCTTCCATGTGCGACTTCGCAGTGTAGTCCGTCGTAGGAGTCCCAAGTGATGTTGAAGGTCTTCTCAGGCGCAACATAGTATCGAAGAAGGTTCCGTACAGTTCTAACTACGTTGTCAAATTCATCATAGTCAGGGAGGTTGATGTATGGTGACGAGTTCCATCCAATAGATTGTTCAACAATGACCCATAGTGTTACGATTTGGTCTGTGTACGACCAATCCTTACAAAATCCAGCCTGTTGATTTCGAAGTTGGGCGTCTACTGAGTCTTTCATCCGTTTCAGTAACACTTTGTTGAAAACGTGTCCTGGCACCGATTATAATGTGATACCACTTTAGTTCTCACACAAAAAGGACAGTGGTATTGTTTCACGTTGAGTTTAATTCACTGTTTTGATCGTAAATTACGTATCAAAACTACCGTTTGCACTTTAATTGAATTTATTTCAGTTAACGTGACATTGTATTTGTGTGTTTTGATTCTACTTTTGTGTATTTACTGCATCAAAGCATTCTTGGTCGACTGAGGCTTGTTTATTTGATAAGGTTGTGATTTATCTTACATATCTACCTTGCCTATCATTTTGTTTTACTCTAAGATGGTCGGCTCTGTACACAAGTGTGGACAGCCATATTGCCTATTCCCCGTGGAAGAAGGGATGCAATGTGACGATTGTAAGAAGTGGTTTCATAAAATGTGCACCCGCTTAAGCCCTGCTGCCTATAAAAGGTGCTCGAAACCCAATTCTCATTGGCTCTGTATGTTTTGTTGCTCAAGTAAGACATTACTCATACAGGAAGCCATCAGCCTTCTAGCGTTAGCTAAAAAGGTCGAAGTAGGCCGTGCCGGCAACATGGATACTGATAATGAAGATTGTATCAGTGTCGTAAATGCTGCCATGGCAGGTACCAGACACCCAATTTCGCAACAGGAAGCAACAATTTGTACTCCGGTACAACCAATGAAAGCCATGCCATTAAGTACTGAGGGACCAGTCGCTTTAGCAGCGACTGAGGACCCGGCTAGAACCACTATCGTCCAGAATAGTTCCAATCTGGATGCTGAGAATAGTGGCAAATGGATTACGCGGAAACGCAAAAGAGACGGAAAAACACCCAAAGAAAGCGCGCGTATAGTCGTTAAGTCATCGTTGGACTCACGTCCTGAGCATCAGGCAACTCCGCTCAAGTCCATACGTAAGGAAATAATTAATACTGTTGTGGATGGAAATAACCTAACTTCACCAAATGTTGTTGGGAGTAACTCGCTTGACCCACATGACACTGTCATAAAGAAAGCTAATAACAAGAAGCCGGTAGCTAACCGGCAGGATCTGACATCACGGTCAAAGGCCGTGAACACGACGTTTAAGGCAGTTAAACAGATGCCTAGTGTAATCATCTGGAACTTGGCAGAATCGAAAGACACTGATCCCGCTAAGAGACATGCCCACGACCTGCAGTTAGTGGGATCTCTCATCAGAAATATACTGCCAGAGGAGGTCCCAGGGGTACATATCTCGAAAGTCATCAGACTTGGTAAGTATGTTGAAGACGAAACCCAACAGAGAAGGATCCTCAAATTAGTACTCGGTAATTTTGAGGAACGGGACGTATTACTAAATAACTCACGCAAAACTCGTGACTCAAACATTCGTATTCGACCTGACTGGCCACTTGAGGATCGGATCAAGTGGAAGAATGCCCTAACAGAGTTAAAAACTCGAAGGCTAAACGGTGAAGCGAACCTTACGATTAAGGGTTTTCGGGTAGTCAGGTCTTGGAAGCCAATGCTTCCGAGACCTGTGTGGGTAGAACGCATGTCTCCAAAAACACCCTAAATTTGTGTTATACGAATGCTCGTAGTCTTCGGAATAAGATGTCTGAAATAAGTTTGATGGTAGACGACTTAAATCCCGATATAATTGTTATCACCGAAACTTGGCTCACTGTAGATATAGACTGTTCTCCAGTCATTTCAGGCTACATCTGTGTCAGAAGTGATAGAGTTAGAAGTCGCAAGGGAGGAGGCATAATATTATATATTAGGGACCACTTCCGCATTAACTCGATCATATCGGAGGCGCATGTAAGTGGTACGTGTGAGGTAGTATGTTGTACAATTAGGTCTAGAAACGGATTAGTGACGATAGGAGGAATATATCGTAGTCCGTGTTGTCTCGCTGACGACTTTATCCTAAAACACGTCTGTTCTTGGAGTAAAGCAGAATGTTGTCTCATCGTTGGAGATTTCAATGCACCCCATATAAACTGGATAGAGCTCACAGCTCCAGGTGGGGGTTTCGATAGCGTCCTTCTGTCATCAATTATTCAATGTGCACTTGTACAATGTATCGTTAAGCCAACACATATAGACTTGGAACATAATCCGTCATTGATAGACCTTGTCCTCACACACCACTGTGAAGATATCGTTGACATTCAACATCTTCCCCCACTGGTGAATAGTGACCATGTCGTACTTTCCTTTAAGTTCCGGATACATGGTATAGAATTTGCATCAGCTCCACCCCGTCCTAATATCTGGAGAGCTAATATTCCGGCAATCAGGGACTATGCTATCTCAATTGACTGGTCGGTCGATGCTGATGGATCGATTGATGATGCATGGAATAGGTTTAAGTCTACGTTCGAATCCGTAACTCAGCCGTTTATCCCATGGTCAGCACGTAAGCTATCATATTGCCCTCCATGGATTAATAAGGAAACCCGGAAGCTGTTGAAGCGTAGGAAACACTTCTGGGACTTATTCTTGTCAACAGGTCAGGCATCATTTAAGTGCGAATATAAAAAAATCCGGAATATATGTAAAAAGACCATAGCTAAATCCCGCACGGCTTACGAACGACAGTTGGCATACGATAGCCGTACCTGTCCGAAGCGCCTGTTTTCGTACGTTAAAAGGCGGACGAAACGTAGTGATGGCATCCCCTCATTACTGTTAAGCGAAAATTCAGCTTTATTGGCTGAATCTGATCTGGCGAAAGCGGAGTTATTTGCTAACTATTTCAGTGAAGTCTACTCTACGTGTAGTGTTACAACTACTTGTCCAGTTGACAATGAGATACCAGCCATAGGACCCTTACACGTGACAGAGGATATAGTTCTTCCTTTGATAACTAACCTAAAACCTTGTAAGATACCGGGCCCCGATGGGTTACACCCACGTTTGCTGTCGTCGCTTGCGAACATTATCTCAAGACCGCTCAAGATGCTCTTCAACATTTCCTTTTCACAGGCTCAACTACCTAGAGACTGGAAAGACGCCATAGTTAGTCCTATATTTAAGGATGGTCAGAGACGGATAGTATCTAACTACCGGCCTGTTAGCCTGACCAGTATAGTAGTTAAGTTACTTGAAAAATTAATTCGGGCTAAGCTACTGAGCCACATAGATTCGTACAATCTGTTAACTCCCGAGCAACATGGGTTTCGTAACAAGCATTCATGCTTGACTAACTTACTCATTGCGAGAGAGGATTGGACAGCTGCACTAGACAACGGCCAGTCTGTCGACGTGATATTTATAGATTTTAGCAAAGCGTTTGATAAGGTTTCACACTTAGGTCTTATGCAAAAGCTCTCGAGCTTTGGTATAACAGGTGCTATACAGGAATGGATAGGAAGCTTCTTATGTGACCGCAGACAGAGAGTGAGAGTCAATGGAACTCTATCCGAATGGAAACCGGTCAAAAGCGGTATACCCCAAGGCACCATCTTGGGCCCTTTACTTTTCCTTCTGTATATTAATGAACTACCTTTATTACTTAAGTCGTCGACGTTATTGTTTGCGGATGATGTTAAAATCTGGAGAACAATAAGAAATGAGATTGATCGTTGTTATCTACAAGCAGATTTAGACGAATTAGTTAGGTGGGCTCATGATTGGGGCCTGGAAGTTAATTCCAGGAAGAGCGTGTTCATGCACATCGGGCACGATATTAGTTACCACTATACCATTAATGGTACATCTCTGCCACGCGTTCATACGCATAAAGACTTAGGAGTAATTATAAGTCACGACTTAAAAACTACTACGCACTGCAGTGCGGTTGCTTCCAAAGGCTATCGCGCGCTATGGTCGCTTCGCAGAGCATTTAAATGCTTTGACGAGGATATGTTTCGAATTTTATATCCCACCTATGTAAGGCCACACTTAGAATACTGTATCCAAGCAGCTAGCCCTTGTCTGATAAAGGATACTAAATCGCTTGAGCGTGTCCAGCGTGTAGGGACAAAATTAGTAAAGGGTCTTTCCAAACTCCCTTACGATGAGCGTTTAAAACGTCTAAATCTTTTCCCCTTATCTTATCGTAGGACGCGAGGTGACCTTATACTGGCATTTCGTATCTTTAATTATGATCTGGGTGTTAATATGTCTTACCTTTTTGCTCCCTCCAGCACTAATAATCTCCGGGGTCATAGCAAGAAGGTTCTGAAACCGCGATCTAATAAACTAAAGGTGGGGTCCCGTTTTTCTCATCGAGTGGTCAATGACTGGAACGCTTTACCAGAACAAGTGGTATCAGCACCATCAGTGAACATTTTCAAAAAGAAGCTGGACCTTCACTGGAAGGAAATCTGTCAGGATTAACACAGGTTCATCAACCTACTATCCTTATTACTGAAGACTGAAGACTTACTCAAATCTCCTTTCTTTGGCACCTTGATGAGATATCCTTCTTTTCAATCTATCGGCACTTGCTCTTCCTCCAAATATTTCTGGATAGAATATGTAGCAACTTTGCAGTTACTTCGACGTCTGACTTTAGTGCTTCAGCCGGTATGTTGTCAGGTGCTGCTTTCCCACTATTGATTTGTCTGACGACCATCCAGATTTCTCTGATCGTTGGTGAGTTGACATCTGTAGGAAGGTCTGTATGTGTTGTTTCGATGCCTGGTTGATTCGATGGAGCTGGTCTATTCAAGAGTTCCTCTATATATTCCATCCATCTGTTCCCCTGTTCTTGAATCTTAGGGACTGGCTTGGCTTCTTTGCTATTGACTGACCTCTCTGGTTTCCTATATTTCCCCAGTCAGTTTCTTTGTCGTGACATGTTGTTTCATATTTTCTTCTCTTCCACAGTCTCTATCTGTCACTGCTAGGTCTTCCATTTATTTCTGCTTAACGGTTCTATTGCTCCTCTTCACTTGCTTGTTTGTTTCTGTGTATTCTGTCTGTGCCTCGACTTTCTCTGTTCCTGTTCGGCTGTTGTTGATTACTGTCTTCTTGTTTTTTCCCTCTTGAATCTTGTCCAGGGTATCGACAGAGTTCCATTTCTTATGATTGTGCTTCTTGAAGCCCATCACCTCGTTGCACGTTGAAGTCAGTGCTTTTGAATCCCTTTCCAGTTCTCCATTGTAGTTTCCTCCTCTTCGAGTAGATCTCATAAGTCTGGGAACCTGTTACTGGGGTCTATCTTGAATTCATAGAGTTTGTCGGTATCTCGAAGGAAGGCTATATTAAACTTTTGTAATGCTATTTCTCCAGTTGTCCAGTTCTTCTTCACATGTAGCTTCTCCTTGGCCACAATAAGTTGGTGATTTGAAGATATGTCAGCCCCTCCCTTTGTTCTCACATGTTCCATAGATCTAAAATTTCCTATTGATGCAAAAATAATCAATCTGGTTCTTTGTATTGTAGTCCAGTGAAAATCATGTAGCTTTGTGTATGGGTTTGTGTGGGAATATTGTGACACCTATAACCATTTTGTTGAATGACTGCAAACGTGCAAATCTGTTATTATTCTCGTTCCTTCCTTCCAGTCATTCCGTGTCGTCCCATGATATTTTCATAACCGGTGTTGTCCATTCCGACTTAAGCGTCTAGGTCTTCCATCATAATGATGATGACGATGGTCAGGTCTTTTTCCAGTCACCCCTCTACGATCAACTGGCATCTCCCATAAAACTGGTCTTTATCGTCTTCACTGCTATCATCTGTGGGTGCATAACATTGGATGACATTGATTGTGATTCCATTCCTCTTTGTTTTGAACGGTGGTTTGATTACTCTGGATCCATGATATTACAGTGCTATTAGACAACATTGGTACAACTCCTTGTGTGTACAAAGCATCTTATTCTTCATGACCAGAGTAAAACGGTATGTCTGTCGAAGCTTATCTTTTCTGTCCAGTTTGGGTCCAATCAGTCTCACTTATTTCCCACCACTACCGAATTGTATCCTCATTTCCACAGCTATTTGACTGGTCCTCTCGGTCTCTCACACTGTCCAGATATTCCATTTACCTGTGTTAATTATTTCTATCCCGTCATTTTAGCCCCCGAACGCCCTGTACGGCCGAGAGTGAGGAGAGTCCGCTCTCCCTCTCGAAATACTCACATAGTCACGCGTATATAGCCTCTGCCATTGAAGTCCTACTCACTGCCTTGTCGTGCCACGGGTGTTGTTTAAGAAGTTGAGGGGACGAAAGGCGAATGCCCAATGCTTTAACTGGGTTGGTGGATACGGAAAGTCCACCTAGGGGAGTTAGAAAACCCTGATTCCAAACCAATCGTGCACATAGGTTCGAGTATCCTGAGGGAACAAATGGCGTATGAATCAATCGTTGGTCACCGGCTACCATGGGACTGCATCTCCTTACGATGCTGCACTGCCTTGTGGGTCAGATCTTTAGGTCAAAGGTTCGGGTGTGGCCCCCTAAGTAAACCACCTGCTTCAGTCTAGGCACCTGAGCAGTATCCAAGCCCTCACACAAATCAATTGAGATTTGTGTGGCGCATATATATCTGGTGTCCCCTTTTTACCAATATTTGTCTAAATAAAATAAAATAACAAATTTAGAAGGAGTTTTGGCCTCATGACTTCCAAAGAATCTTAGCTTTCACCATGAGGCGTCATAACTCTTGTAGATGAAGATATTTGAACTAGTGGGGAAGAGTTTCAGTGGTTTAAATGACTTTTTCTGGTTAGTGTATTTTTTAGCAAGGTTGTTTCTTACGGGATAGGTTTGCTGACCCCGTACCCAACTCTCCTGGTTTATTCGATCTTGGGACCGTCAGTAACTTTAGTAGGGCTACAAGCGGAGTAGTATAATGCTTTTTATTCTCCATGTACTCATCATTTGGAAATATATGGTATTGTTTCAGATTTCATAAAGTAGTACAACAAATCGGTCAGTACTTAGTCTGTTTATGCCAATTTTTTCATAAACTTATATTGATACTCCTTCGATATTATTCTATAGCTTTTTTTATTTTCATATTACAGTTTTAACGAACAAAATTCAGTTGTAAAATTTACTTTCATTCGATGGGACTTGGGTTAGGGTTTCTTATGTTGTCGATTTTTCTTAGATGAAACAATTTAAGGTAAATAGCTACAGTCAGTCAGTCAGCTACAACGTAGGACCAGGCATATTTATGCATCGGTCCAAGTTGCCATACCTCGTTAGCACAACAAGATGAGCACCTGATTTTTGTTTATTTATTTAACTGGAATAAAATGTGGTACAACTGGAGAACAAAGCTAGTATGACTTACAAAAGATGGAATTTATGTGTAGACTGGGATACTGCCTGAACACCCGTACCGAAGGAGCTTAAAGTAACTTCGCATTCCGGTAGATTTATTCGATTAAAATGCAGTGTGAATGCATAAGTAATAGTCTTTAATAACTACTAACAGTGATGAGGATTCGCCTCGAAGTTTTCTCAACATAGTTATTCAGTTAGTCTGTTACAGTTTCACTTGTTTTTTCTGCAGATGTTGGAAAAAGCAGCCTTCTCTTCCGGTACATCGATGACGGTTTCAGTGATACTTATATGAGTACAATTGGAGTAGACTTTAAAGTAAAAACAGTCATGATTGGAAATACAAGAGTAAAGCTACAAATTTGGGATACAGCTGGACAGGAGAGATTTCGTACTATAACATCAACGTATAATTTCATTTATAATTAATATTTTGATAAAAATTATCAGGTATTATCGTGGTGCTCATGGAATTATCATTGTATATGATGTCAATGATGTGAAAACATTTTGTAATGTAGAGAAATGGGTAAAAGAGGCACAAACTTACGCTGATGAAGGAGTGGCACGAATACTAGGTGAGGAATACTTTTCCAGTCATTTACACCATAGTCTAATTCATTTTGTAGTCGTTTCTTACAGTTTAGGGATAGTATTACAGCTTCTTCACCGGTAAACTAACGGATATAAGTTATGTACAGATTTGTTATCTTTCTAATCTCTATTAAGCTCTCATGAAAATGAAATGTTTATGAAATAATAAATTAATAGCCATATTTTTTGCCTACCTTATGTTGTTTGTATTCAGTGACCATGTTTTACACCTTTGTCATAGGATAAGATGGACTTATACATTATTCACTTAGTTATTAATGAGTAAATAGATACTTCACTAGTGTTATTTGAACTTTGTTATCGACCTAATCATGGACTAGTTGGTCAGGACTTAAGTGATTATTAAAACTTTAACTGTTCGTCTCCTTTCAGTAAACTTTTATCACAAACATGCTTCTAGAGATTACCTGTTTAACATTTTAGAAGTTGGTCTTATGAAATCGGAGGCTGTAAACGATATAGTTCTTTTTGATGAAGAAGCTGACAGCATTCAGAATCGTTCGACTGATTTGAACCAAAAAAGTGGTAGGATGGATTCCTTTTCTTCTGGATTAAAATTGTTGCTTAAGAACCAGTTTGCATCAATGCCTGATCTGACCATAACAGGGGAAGGAACTGACCACGTTAGTCATTGTACTTATGTGTGACACATGTGTCATCTACCACCTTACATGATGTGGGACAATGGCTTGTATCGGAGGAGTAGGTTGGAGAAAGGGCTAGGATGATCAAGTGTAATCACATTGTCAGTTTATGAGACCATTGACTGTCCGATTGTCTTATTGGGTGGTTTATTTTATTTCTTTATACCTGATTGAACTTGTTCGAAATAACTTTACGCACTCGTTTTCTCACACTAAAAATCTAAGAATAATTGTACAATGCATTGTTTTGTAATTATTCCCTCCGTTTTTTAAAAACATTTTAATAGTCGGTAATAAAAACGAAAGTGAAGAATTAAAAACTGTAGCCACTTGTGATGCCCAACGATTAGCAGCTAAAAATTCATGTCTTTTTATTGAAACATCTGCTAAAAATGATGAAAATGTTGATCAGGTAATGTTGCAACTTGTATTTCTTTAAATTTTATGAGATATGGTATTCTTTTTTATGGTTGGTTTATATTTCTCAAGTTTCTATTGTTTTTTTTCGCACCATGGTTATTTTAAGATTTAAGGGGTTTATATAATGTTCGGCTGTTTTAACTAAGCCGTAAAACCCACAGAAATGTATTTTCTATATCATATTGGCGAATTACACATCTCTACTCCCTCTACACAAATATAATCTTTGTTTAAAACTATGTGGAAAATTTGTATATGCTTTTCAATAAAGTATTGAAGTTAACTGTTATTTATAATTTTGTACATTTCATAAAAATTAGTGTTTCATCATAATCAAATCGATGAGTTATTGTCTCAGTTTATATTGATTAATCGTATGATATAATCTATGCAGTGAATAAATTCAGTGGCTACATGTGTTTGGAAAAAACAGAAGTAAAGATAAGTTGTCTAAAATTTGTTTGAATTCCTAGTTTTTCTAAAAAAACATATTTCTGTTTGTATTAAGTTAGTTTTACACATTTGAGGTTTGCTTTTGTTTTCCATTCTGTGAAAACAAGTGTAATAATAAACACAGAAGGTAATGAAATAATGATGGTTTCTGTTGTAAGTTCTATCCTTTGAATAACCTTTCACATGTAATGATATAAAGATAAATTCATGTCAGACTACTTGAAAATGTTATGTGAAAACTTTTTAAGTGACGAAACCGTCCAAGTTGAACAAGGTATGCCAAACAGTTCAAAGGTCAAAATGTACGCGTTTATATTTTAATTTTATGACACGACGATATCGTGTTTGTCGAATTAATAGAAGCATATGTTGTTTTAGTAAATTGAAGATAATCGATAACAGTATCTTTGTGAATGCGTATGTCGATTTTATTTGATTATATTCTTCAGGAGTTTTTGTACATTCCAAAATGAGATTGACGCATGTGTTTTAATTCCACTCCACCAATAATGGAAGTGTTGGTGGAATATATTGCACAAGTCGGCTGTAAATTGACAAGTTACATTGTTTATTATCATTACTCAGACGTACTTTTCGTTGTTATTTATACTTTGTTATGTTATGCGATCTCTTCCAAGATGTCACAGTACATCATTTTGCTGTTCATTGAGAAGTTTACCATTCACATTGTCATTTAAAGCATATGTGATAAGTAGAAATAGTAGTGGTATTGAATGTAATATAAGAACTTGCAATTCCTAGCTCTGTCAAATACGTACTGTATTAGTCATAAATGAACCAGGACTCGAAGGGAATAAAAAGCCTATGCACACTCAAATGCATCGTATTTAGAGTCGAATCAAGAGCAAAAAATTGCCACGATATACAGATATCACAGCATGACCATGTTGTGCCCCGATAACAATAATGAATGGTAACTTTGGGATTCATTTATGGACCAATATTATGCGAAGTAGAGAAAATATATTCCGTAAGCAGCCGAAGTACAAGCATTCGTAAGGGAAAAACTCAAACGTATATATGCAGCGATAAATTGTCCTTGGGCAGCATTACAAAATAGCACACTCAAAGATACGACGGACCAATAGCATTTAATATATTTTATAGGTGGGAAATTCGACTCGAAGGTTAAAAGAGCGCTTTTGGCGCGAAAACAAAGAAATTCAAATTTTCAAAATAAAATTACAAAATTAGGCCATTTACCAAGTAAGTTCTGGGGATTTAACATCCCCAACACCTCTCGTTTTAATAACGGACATTCTTGGGGTCTACTTGCATTTTGACTGTCTGTCGCCGTTGGCGCAGTGACCATCTTCTGGACCGTAGATCGACTTGTGTTGGGGCTACCGGCAGACTAAACGTTTCTTTCAGTCGATGGGCGCGCTGGAGCTGACCGCTTACGTAGTTGGTTTCGGTGCCTAATCCACCTATCTGCTCCCACCCCAACCTCGTACATAACTTTGCCTACCTTCCTAATCACACGTGCTTCAATCCAGGGACTATGATTTGGTCCCGAGCGAACACTGGGCATCCAACCTTGTACGTCGGTAGCTTCTGGGGCTTGGTTTGCGATGGCGGTGGTGGGGCTTTCGGAAGCATCAGATTGTGGATGGTCCTCAATCTTCTTCCCATGAGGATCTCTGCGGGGGATTTCTGTTCAGGTAGCATGTCGTTTGGTTGACGAATAAGAAGTTTTGCAGTGTTTCCACTAGCATCCCCTCCCCTTTTGACTTGACCAAAGCCCTCTTAAATATATCCACAAATCTCTCTGCTTGCCCGTTTGATAGTGGGTGGTAAGGTGGGACGCGATGCTTGATAGATAGGCGTTTGCAAAATTCTTGGAACCGAGTTGAGGTGAACTGTGAGCCGTCGGATAGAATTACATCCGGTAATCCGTTGCGGGCGAACAACTCCGTCAAGTGCTTCAGCGTATGGCTTAAGTGCCGTCATTTCGCATCACAGAAAGCTGTCATGCATGCATCCCGCGCGCTGACCCCGGCAGAAAAGAAGTATAGCCAGATAGAGAAGGAGGCTCTCGCACTCGTGTTTGCTGTGCGCCGTTTCTATCCCTTTGCCTTACGACCTGGATGTGTGACGAAGAGTCTACTTTTAACAAACACTGATAAGTACTGTAATTCCCCTGATTTGGTAACAAACTGTTATCATCCTAGTTATGTCGTACGTCTATTTCGAACAGCTAGGATATAATCTATTGAAGGGGGTGTTTTTTTGTGCTGGATTACATACAAACGCAGAGTTTGTTAGACAATTTCAGGTGACTAAAAATGTCAAGGTCATAGACTTGATTATGACTAGGTATTTGTTATAAAAATGTACTTATATAAGGTATAAATTTATGCCTATTTGTTTTGAATAAAATAATTGATTTGATTTCAAAATGTAGGGTGCAACACAAAAAACATCACATTTAATGGGTTATATCCTAGCGAGCATATTTCACACGGATGAAATTGTTATTCCTTTCTTCACTGATCATTTTTATTGATATCCACCCTTTTGGTATTCGTATATGTTAATGCTAGCCTTTTTGATGGTTGCCCCTATTGTCTGCGGTCCTTCGCTTGCATCCTTATTAGTGTAAACATCATAGTTAAGTCGTTTCTTACAACTAAGTCCTTTAAAAAAACTTCTTAGTTTTTCACGTTGTTATTGTTCATCAAATACTCATTTATCTGTTAACTTATCAAATACATTTTATCTGTGGTTAGAAGGCGTATTTAAGTGAATACCATCATAGCTTGACATCGTTTGGAGAATAACTAAAAAGTTAGTCAACACTGAACATCTGTTTCATTCTGGCTTAATACACTTCAATGTTGTACCCTCATAACTTTCATGTTTCATGTTAAGCACAATACACTTTAACCATTAAATTAATATTTAATGGTTTGTACGTTTTTCACGTCATTTTGTATACACCAAACTTAGCTCCACCTATTTCGTTTCGGGAAACCGAATGTTATCATTAACCCTCACACTTGGAAAATGGCTCATATCCAAGCACCTAGTGAGTTTAATTGAATTTCATTTTAATTAATAAATCATTAGTTCCGTGTGAGATATTTACTTTTTTGTTCCAACTTTGTCCCTGTTTTTACAGATGTTTTATATTATTACAAGAGAAGCTTTACGTTTAAGGTTAAATGCTGTACAAAAACAACAAGAAGCGCAACAAACCGTAGTTCAATTGACACCTATCTCCGGATTAAAATCAAAGCAGAAACTGAAATGTTGTAAAGGATAACTTCTTTTTTTGTCTATCTATGTCTTTCTTTGTAATCAAATAATTTGTTTATTGTTACCCACTTATTTATTATCATTATCCAGTTATGTTGAGACAGAGAATGCAATAATCAAGATACTATTGTTACAACTACAACTGAAACTACTTCTCACACTACTACTATCTCAATGTATTCAATATCATTTGTTGTATAAATAAAATAAAACTGAATAGACAAGTAGGTGAGTGAGTGCGGACGGTAAGTGTTGTCGAAAGAATATCTACTGTTCTGCTTTTTTCCGTCTGTTTCACCAATCAATTTTTCTCACTACAAATTTATTGTCCTCATTGAATGTGAATCTCAGACTATTGAATGCGGCAATTCCTCCTGATGGCAGGAAAACTCAAGCACAACAATACCTTTTTTGGTTTTCTTTTTTTTAACAAATTTATTTTGTAACTTTTTTTTTTTCATTTTAATTCAATGATTTTTTATATGATTATTAAAATTAACAGTTTATTGCTCAAGAATTCAAATTCATTCGATTTATATAAGTATCACAGTATATGTTCATTGTTAAAGATCATTGCAGAATAATGAATCGACGATTATTTAACGAATGGTTGTTTTTTATTAATAGTTCTAGTGCATTTTTTTGTTCTGTTTTTAATTTGTTATGATGATGATGATATTGTTGGTAGTGAAGATGATACTTATTGAAGGAGAACAAAGCAAATCAACGAATCTCTATTTCATGTATAGACTATTCTATATTATTATTATCATTATTATTATTGGTATGCATGTTATGATTTAGTATATATTTCCTTCTTTTTATATAGAATTTAATTGCACCGATGATTTTGTTTTGTTAGTTAATAATCTATTCTGCTGATGCCTTTCTCTGTTTGTTTTTTTATATTTTAAAATAATATCTATTTATGAAAAAAACCCATTTATTTACACAATCAAAATGATTTATTATCTGTTATATAATTTCAATATAGTATGATATTCATTTATATTTACTTTTCCCCAGTAAAAAGAACAGACGAGTTTTGATAAAGTATCAGCTATACTCTTCATACATATATATATACATAGTTATAAACCTAGGATACTTGTTATAACGCTAGGGTTTCTAGTTATAACAGTCCTTTTACTTTTTTACACGTATGGGGGACGGTAATTTACTTTAGACGAATATCTACACTAGATTTCCACCCAGTGTCTATTCTACAGGACTTCAACAGATCAAGAACACGAGATTAGCCTGACTAGAGCGTCAATATATTTCCACACCAAAATCCGAAACAATCCAACATCAAGGAACAATCAATACATAATAAGGATAGAGGAATATATATAACACATAACACCTGTCATCCTATCTAATGTCCGACTCATCAAGACAACCAATCATTGTCATTCTCGCCCACACATCATATATATATATATATATATATATATATATATATATATATATACTCATGTATTTGGGTAACATTTATGGATCAAGATTATAGTATTTTCTGCATGTCATACATTGGATGTAAAATTAAGTAAGGAAATTGTCCCTCCATAGATTGAAAGGAAATAATAAGTTTATATATTATGATCAGGATAACAGTTTTGTGTAATTTTGACTTCAACATTTTTGTGTTTATTTCTTGTAACAATTGATCATTAAGATTATAATGAATTGTCACTGCTGGTGTGTATAGGTAATTGTGATAAATAGTTTAATCACTTTTCACAGTTGAATCAGTTTCATAATTGATAAATTGATTCATATTTCATTCCAACCATACTATTGGCTAATATGAGTTCGTAATCTACATAGAATTATGCAAATCAACGCAAGAACTTGGGAGATAGAATAAATGATTCATTATCATTGTGGACAGTATCAGGGCAGGTAAATCGGTAAAACCATAAGAACTTATCAGAAACCTATTAATCTAGTTTCATAAATATTGTAAAAGTAGTCCGATATCATTATAAAGTTATGCCACTCTCCAACTCTCTATTTCACTCATTCCAAGTATGCTAGTTAATATAACTTCCAGGGAGTTGAGATGAGTTTTCACGAAGATTATACCGACTTGGGCACAAAAGTTTAAATGTTATAACTGAAATGTATTTAATACTGCTATAAGTGTGGAGTTTTTTCTGTCGCCCATACTTCAATAAAGAAAACCGATTTTAACTGAGCACTTGCATGAAAGTGCAATAATCAATTTTTCGCTAAGAAAAAGTCGTGATTGACCTGTTTTTTCACGCTAAATTAACATATTATATATTCTGTAAATTAAGATAGTCAAGCTGTCGCTTTAACGCTTCAATTTTTACTGGATTATTATTGATATACAATAAACAAGCGTAACATATTGGCTAAAACCTAATGAAATCCAAGTGTCCATTCCAGTTCCTTTGGTTAATATACCGAATATAGAAACAATAACTATCTCTGCTTGAAGTCATTTCATGGAACAGGTTAATTTATATTTCTGCAGATAATTATTATAGTAGTTGATAGATTTTGTTGATCACCGTAACATTATTGCATTCATTTGATTTATAGTAGAAACTTTACATCGATTAAATAACCATATTCATTTTCAAATATTGTGATGATTCATCAAAACAATGATATCAATAATTTATAGTCAAGGTCGAATTACCATTAATTTTGTACAGACTTCCACTATAATAATAATCAATAATTGATTAAAATGCGCATGCCATTTAACATAAATAAGTATCGTGCATAAATCGTTTTTCATAAATTGGTGCATTAATTGTTCAACATAATGGCTGTCAGTTATTGTATTTTCAACTGATTGATTTGAACAGGAACTTACGTACTTTTCGAATGATATTATGTTTATAAAATAATAAATAAACGAATCTATTCGATTTTTTCTCTCTAAAAAAAGTAATAATTTAATCCACTTGTTCATTCTGTTTTGAATATATTTCGTTAGTAAATCTAGAAATGCTCAATTACCATGTAATGTAAAAAGATTCATAGTTAACTATCGTTTTTTTTCAATATAATTTATCAAATAAAATATTTCGAAATAGTAACTAATTTATTACTTATTGTTTTAAAAGGTAGACACTATAGAGTTCAAATATTAGTAACTTACATAAATTCTCAGAAAAAAAATAAGTACCTGTAAAGACGCGTATATAGCCTTTGCCAGGTAAGTCCTACTCACTGCCTTCTCGTGGCATTACTGTTGTTTACGAAATTGAGAGGACGAAAAGCGAATGTCCGGCGCTTTAACTGGGTTGGTAGACACGGAGGGTTCACCTAGGGGAGTTGGAAAACCCTGATTCCAAACCAATGGTGCACATGTGCTCCAGTATCGTGAGGGAACAAATGGCGTATGAATCAATCGTTGGTCACCGGCTACCATGGGACTGCATCTCCTCACGATGCTCCACTGCTTTGTGGATCAGATATAGATCTTTAGGTTAAAAGCTGCGGGTGTGGTCCCCCAAGAAAACCACCTACTTCGGTCTGGGCACTCGGGTAGTATCCAAGCCCTTACACAAATCAATTGAGATTTGTGTGGCGCATATATATCTGGTGCCCTTTTGTACCAATATTTATGTGTTTAGATAAATAACATAGAGTATATCGACTTTGTACATGATAAATCCAATGCTTAATAATAATTACTTTACACATGTATAGCTATAATCTATTACGTGAAGTATGAAAATATGCTATTTCGGTAATTGTAATCTGATGAAACACTTCATTGTTTATATAAATAACATTGTGAAATATTTTAGATTTTAAAATAAATTCAGAACTAATCACCCTGGATTCTTAACAGTTTCTTGTTTGTTTGTTTTTAAGATAAAGGACAGTACTAGCGCTCTATATCTGTTATTCTAATTGTTTTTATACATGAATACACTGATTCATGTGATTTTACAGTTCTTGGTACTGATTTCTGTTAAATGGCTCCAAGTGACATTACAGTATTTTCTAAAATAAAAATATTGAACAAGCAATACAGATTGGAATGTTATTCAGCAAGCAACAAAATATACTGACAATAATTAGGCTAGACGTACCACAAAAGTCCTAAGCAAATTTTATTAATGATTAGGTGGATTTTTATAACATTATAGTCGGGTGTAGAATGAATATTTGTTAGTTGGGTAGGGTCCTAACTATTCATGCCAAGATCGAACACAAGCCGGGATACATTGATTAGTCCATTTCCAACTGCTCGGTGCTAACGGATTGTTAAAAAAATATTATTTCCTACTTTATGTGTCGTGTGGTCAGAAATTTGAAATACATTACTGTATGTGTTCTGAGTCAGTTGAATTGTGTACAATAGAGAACTAGTCTGTCTCCTATTCGGCTACTGAGTTAGGAGGGACTCGAGGACCAGTAATCGTTAGGATGTTCATTGTTGTCAATTCTCGAAATAGAAAGTCACCGGTCCTACTGGCCCATAGGTGGGTTAATCAAACCTCTAGTTATAACGAATTAAAGATTCCAAAACAACACAGCTGGAATAAGAAAATGATGAAAAGTTCTCCCATAAATTGTATATAGTCACTTTTATTGTCACTACCGTATCCCTCTTTCGGACCTATTGGATCATATATTGTTCTCTCACAATTGTTTTTTATATGGGGCAGGTTAAGTGAGTTACAGTGTTCAAGGAATGTTTGACAGAGGCTAAAGTAACGCTATTGCTGCTCAAGGACCATTCCCATTGAGTTATCATTATCGTGATTTCTGGTGCCTTATCCGAATTCACTAGATATTATTTATTAAACTGATTTTAGTTTCCAGCATATTGTGGCGGCATTGTCGCAGGTGATTACAATGAAGACACTGACTGGACAATCAATGTTGATTTGTCCTATGGCGGAGTAAATTGTTCAGAAATTTTATTTCTCATACCACGTAGCATGAATTAAAACCTAAGGTCAAAAACCTATCTCATCGTCCGAAAGCCTAAAATATTGATTTCTAGGTTGACCAGTTCTTATCAGGTAGAAATTTCATACAAAGAACAACTGATGGAAGCAATAATATGTTGAGCTAAATAGTTGGTTATACTATCACTAAGCTCAGTAATATATAGAACGTATGGGAGGATTTCATATGTAATACGAAATCAAGTAATGGGAAAAGAATATAAATTATCATGATGAGGGCTTTAAGTAATCATGTTTGTGTAGATCATGATAGTTATTGCAAAACAGTGTTGATAAATTTATTAATATATTGTACGAAGTGAAATTCGTTGAAAAAAGCTGTCTCAGTCAGTAATCAATATATTGGGATTCCTCAACCTACATGATGATAAATTCACTTTGTATTGTTTGTTCGAACCTTCCCATTGATGTTTAGGACTGCAACTGGTCAGTCTCTTATTTGGCTATGTACATACTGTGCGTATTGCCTTAATTCACAAGCATTGTAAGCAATGATGGATAGTGGCTAGCAGTGGAATCCAGTTTGACGCGCGTTTCGTCCTATTTGGGACTCTTTGCTTATAATTACATGATGATAATTCAGAATGTTTAACCTCTGCAGCAAATAAGTAAATCCACTCTATTCTTCAGTGACTTTTTATTTTAATAAAGAGAAGAAACATATAAAAACCTGTTCTCCGTCTGTAACTTGTTATTCCACGTATGATCATTCATAATAACATAAATAGTTATCGTTAGATTTAGTTTGGCATTTTTATTTCAAACGATTGTGTTAAAAAGAAAATTATAATAAAAAGGGGTTTTGTGGAGATTTCAGTATTTTCATAGTTGAAACCATGAGTCAATTGAAGCCGTCCAGTGCTTCCAGGTTTTCCATGATGGTCTAGCTTCAATTGACTCATGATTTCAACTATGAAAAAATAAAATTGTCGAGTTACCCGATATAAAACACTAAAATCTCATCAAACGTTTATTCACGTCAGGTATGCATTATGTTCTCCTTAACAAACAAAATCATACAATTTCTGAATTCAAACAGA